ATTTATTTTTAAGTTTGGTAGGCAAGTTACAGGGCACTGTATTCAACATTGTTAAACATATTTTTATAAAATTAAATATAAACACCCTAAATATGTCAGTATATGCATGTATATGTTTGCTTGCATGGAGGAAGATATGGAAAGAAGACACACCAGGCCATTAACTTGGGAATCTTGGACTGTTTTCCTTGTCAAAAAGAACACAAACTACTTTATAATCACAAACATTAAATTAAATCCAATAAACAAGCATTTCAGAAAGGACTTTGGGATAACTTTAAGTTGTCCTTTAATTTCTTTAGCCTTAACTTGCTCGTCTGTACAACTGGGAAAAAAAAAATATTCCATTATATTGTTGAAGAAATTTAATGAAATAACATGGTGTATTAGTCCATTTTCATACTGCTACAAAGAAATACCCACAACTGGGTAATTTATAATGTAAAAGAGGTTTAATGGACTCATAGTTCCACATGACTGGGGAGGCCTCACAATCATGGCAAAGGCGAAGAAAGAGCAAAGGCACATCTTACATGGTGGCAGGCAAGAAAGTGTGTGCAGGAGAAATGCCCTTTTATAAAACCATCAGTTGTCATGAGGCTTATTCACTAACACAAGAACAGCAAGAGAAAAACTTGCCTTCATGATTTAATTACCTCCCACTGGGTCCCTCCCTTGACACGTGGGGATGATGGGAGCTACAATTCAAGATGAGATTTGGTTGGTAACACAGCCAAACCGTATCACATGGTATAGTACATAAACCTGTCTATAGTCAGCACTCAATAAACGTTGGTTACAACCATGAAGCATAGAGAGCTAAGAATTGAGAATTCATCAACTCTTTATATTTAAAGACAGCAGAAAGAAGCAACAGGAAAAGTGCAAAATAGAAAGATCACATACTGAGATATGATAGGAGAGTAAGCAAAGGTATTCTAGCCTAGAGATTCCTGAATTTAATTCCTATCTTTGTCATGTATTTCCTGTATTACTTGGGTACTTTTACCTTTCCAAATCTTGGCTTCCTTAGCTAATAAAACCAACAAAACTGAAAAAAATAAGTAAAGTGGCCACTGAATTACCAAGAAAGTTGTCACTGGAAAACCTGAAAGAGGAAGTTTCATTATGATAATGGTTGAGGAAGGCAGAAAATTGAGTGCGAACGTGGAAACAATGGATGTAGCCTCCTTGTTGGAAAATTCTACTCATGGAAGACAAGAGAGGAAATTGCAAGATCAAAGAAACTATTTTCTTAAATATGGAGCCCATATAAGGATAAACATGAACATTTTAAAACTAGGCAATGTGAAAATAATGAAGGCAGTAAAGAAAAGCATAACTACCAAATAATCATAGAACTGGGGAATGGTAAAATCCAAGGTCCAGGATTCCTCAGAGAAGAGAAAGATGGCATTTCATCTCAGTCTGTGAAATGAAGGTAAGAATAAAAGAGGAAGAAAGGAGGGAAGCAAACTATCTTTAAAATAGATGTCTCATTTTGTGAGGAGTACAAAACAAGATCTTTTTTCTCTGCTCCAGTCCAATTTCTTTGGGGACTACATGTACTTAATGGTTTGCTGATGGTTCACTCCCTGATTGCCCTTTCTCTAAAGAGAAAAAATAAATGAGTAAAATTAGGCTCTTGGGAAAACCCTAATGATGCATTAGAACTACACTTTAATGTTCCAATAATTAGCAGTAATTATTTCTGCATAGTTTTGGCCTGAGAATCCTGCCCTTCTGGTTGCCAGAGGCTGCAGCCTGGGTGTTACTTACACTGTTCTGTAGTGTAAATCACAGAGAACTTCTAGGTAAAGAATATATGTTTCACCTGCAGAAAGAAGTGTTACTATAATCATAGTGATGAAGCATCACTATAATGGCTATCCTCACCAGAGAGGCTATTAGGTATCAGTCAGTCTCATACTTTCAGGCTATTGCTTCTTTTCTGACTATTTGGAACAATGATCAAGTATTTGTATCTATTTCTTCCTTTCTCGTAATTACATTTCATTATGGTGCATGGAACTTTGAAGGGGGATTCATCAATTGGACTAAAACTGTCAAACTGATCTTATTAAAATTTTATCTTCTATTGCTATTCAGGAAAAAGTTTTCAATCTCCATTAATTTGTACTAAGTAATGCTATAGCCACCTGTTTCCTTTTTAAACTGGATTACCAGTGATAAACTGGTTTCCTTTATTTTCTTAAAAGCCTGCTCACCCTTCCTCTAGATTATATTAAAGTTCTCTATAATTTTGATATGCACCTGATCTAGTGATGTGGAAATAAAAGATAAGCCAGACTTCATATTCCTGGAAGTTAAATGTCTAGTAAAACTCTTATGAGGGACTTTAAGATTGAAAGAATTTTAAGGCTTCACAAATAGGAGAACATAGAAGACAATCTCTGAACATATACATACATATGTCTCTTTGAGATGAGTTTAACGTTAAGTATCTCATGGCCAGTTTTAATGGAACTCATGAGAACAATAAAATCTCCCAAGCTACTAGCAGTCATATTCGCTTTTTTTTTCTTTATTTCTTTTGTTTGTTATTTTGAAAGAAGAACCAAATGGAAACTTTTTCTAAATTTTTATTTTAGGTTTAGGTTAGTTTAACAAATGTGTACTCCTGCCCATTTGTTATATAGGTAAACTTGTGTCACCAGGGTTTCATGTACAGATTATTTCATCACCCAGGCACTAAACCTAGTACCCAATAGTAATTTTTTCTGCCCCTCTCCCTCCTCCCACCCTTCCATCTCTGGCAGGCTCCAGTGTCTGTTGTTTCCCTCTTTGTGTCCGTGTGTCAGTTGTGGATACATTCGTGCACTAAACATCACAAAGTAATTTGAACAGGGAAGATTTAATATAAATAATTATTAACTTTCTATAATAAATTAACTAAGAAGGGATAAAAGAAAACCCCCAAATATTCTAGGCTATATACCCAAGGAAGGAACAAACTTAGAAGTGGAGGGAGGGGCTTCCTCCCCAGGGTGGGGATTCAGATTTCTTTGGAGAAGGCAATATTGCAGCCCATTGCATGACAGAGATTTCTGGGTTTTCCTGGGCCACAGTTTGTGCAAAGTTATCAGGTTAAGGATAAAAACAGAAACTCACCTGCTGGGGTGCCCACAAAATTTACCACAGAACTATACACTAGGGTTGCTGTTGAACTTCCCGCTAGGTCAGGCACTAGCTAGCCTTACCAGGGAGCTACCCGAGAGCTGCTCGCAGGAAACTCAACAAAAGGTCATCACTGGGAAGGCTCCAGGAAAGTAGATGGAGTGCCCTTGGAATTTGCCCTGTAGATGACAGCTGTGGTGCCCACACGAATTCAACCAGCAGCTGACATGCCACTGAACTTGCTTCTAGAAAGCCATGGGTATTATTTATGAAACGAATAAAACCAAAGCGATCTGCTGAATTCATCAAAAATGAGGTCCACTGTATGTCCTACATGCCACCCTAGACCCACACAAGCAAGAAGCAGCACAGCACACAAGACGCAGGAAGAGAAGCCCCTTCCTCTTTCTAAGTCCCTCTAGACCCCTTTACTGACAAGGTTAGCGCCATGCTAGCTGACAAGGAAAAAATGTTCCACTATCACAAACAGGGCAATGAAGGGTAGATTTGGAGCTAAGAGGCAATAAATTTATAACTGGGACAATTTCATACACCAGTACCCAAATGAACAAACTAGTCATACATTCACCTTCACTTACGGTGTCAAGATTCAACTATGTACTGTCTGAAAGAGTATAAGCCTCCTAGAGAATAATAATGTATACATTTCACAGCATTTAAATGAGACCATTTTCTGGAAGAACCATGACACTTAATTTACCATTAGGTAAAAGTAAAAGATGAAAATAATGCTCTTTTCACAACACAACTCTTAAAACATTTGTTGTTTTATACAATCAGCATATTAGACATCCTAAAGCATCACTATATATATCTACTCAAAAAACAATATTCTAATTATCTGGCAAAAAATCAACATCTTCTGAACAGTTTTTGTGGGCCAGTAAGTCTATAGCTATTTACAAGTGTGCAATGAGGATTAACACCAGCGAAGTCTGGAATTCACCAGGACTGTTTCAACAAAGCACCTGCAAGGCACTGATCTTTGGCCATGAAACATACCAATTAAGAGTATTGCTTTATGGCCAGCTGCGGTGGCTCATGCCTGTAATCCCAGCACTTTGGGAGGCCGAGGCGGGTGGATCATGAGGTCAGGAGATCGAGACCATCCTAGCTAACATGGTGAAACCCCATCTTTACTAAAAATACAAAAAATAAGCCGGGCGTGTTGGTGGGCGCCTGTAGTCCCAGCTACTCGGGAGACTGAGGCAGGAGAAAGGCCTGAACTCGGGAGGCGGAGCTTGCAATGAGCTGAGATCACGCAACTGCACTCCAGCCTGGGCCACAAAGCGAGACTCCATCTCACAAAAAGTAAAAAATAAAAAATAAATAAATATAAAAATAAAAAATAAAATAGTATTGCTTTTTAACCATGAGTTTATGGAGTTTCAGTGTCATTCATACTATTTTGTCAGCATTGTTTATTGGCTATAGAATGATGATTTAAACCTGATCTTGGTGAAACCCCTGGGGACCAGGGTGGAGAGATACGGTACTTTGATGTCAGAGGTAGTTAAGTAGCAAGTAACAAGCTGATTAAGCAATTGACCAAGTGGCTGTGAGAAACTCTGGGCGAGATATTATTTTGGGCTCCCTGATTTCAAGGTGTTCTGTGCTCAGGTCTGCTTCCTGATCTGAGGGAAAATGTGTTCCTGATAGGGACCTTACAGAAGAAGAGCAATTGGAGTTTACATCTGGCCTTCCTGGACCCCTTGCCGGGAGATAGCCTTTGGCTGTCACGCATATCCTTATTTTAATAATGTTGCTATACTGTATCTTTTTTGGAAACAAACTGTAAATTTATAAGCATTGTCATTTTGGGTTCTAAGTGTTCCTTAGCAACTGAAACCTGTCTAACTGCCATTATTAGGGCAGCAAGCCTGGCTTAAAGTGTAGTAATTGCATGACCTCACGAGGTAAGTGGGAAGATGTTCCAAATGTAGAATAAGTTTCACCCCAGAGAGAACCACTTGAGAAACAGCTTTGTAAAGACTTTATTTTTAAGAGGCTCAGAAATTTATTTGCCACCTCTCCTCCTATCTTGCTTGAAATTTCTCTAGATTTGACAACTATTCACAGAATCCTATATCCCATCTTGCTGCCTTTAATATTTCCAAGCCAGTAAGTTTTTGTCATTTTTATAATGAAATCTAAATGATGAAATGTGTTGGCTCTGGGCTGTGTTTTGTATTTGTCTGAAAAGCCAAGTATTGAGAACAGTTTGCAACAAATGACACAACATTTCTCATTTCAATTTTTCATGTAGCATAGGATAGTACCATCATTTTACCTTCTTGTTGAGATGCCCACTGGATTTGCCTGGTTTTTCTGAAGCACCATCTTCTCCCAATAAAACACATTAGTCCCTCCTGCATGGAAATATGTCTTTCATTTTGGAGTTGTTTCTTAAAGCTCTGCTTGTGAATGTTTAAATTATAATAAAGAGTAAAGTATTGGTCATTTTAAAATATATTGTTTTTTCATTAATATTCAAATAATATGTGTTTTCTTTAAAAAATAGAAATACAAACAGATTTTGTATAGGACTTGAATAATAATTATGTGTATATTTTTACCTGATTAATGTATTTGTAATATTACTAATAATGTAGTAGTAATAACTTTTTACTAGTTATTGTAAGCTGGCCAAAGGCATGTTTTTAATTTATAAAATTTCCAAATATTAAATCCATAGGTTGAGACATAACATCAAGCTGCTCCACCTCACTTGCTGTTTCTGATATAATAACCTTGGGGAAGAGAGCAGTGAAATTCTAGCCCTACTTGGATGGAGAGCATCTAGCAGGAGAATAAACAAGATCAATGAAAGGAGAGTGGCCACAGCCTACAGTTTTCTTGTCCAGATGATGATTTGAGATGCAACTTAATGCCCCTCCACTGCCTTAATAAAATCAAACCAAGCAACCTAATATGGGGACCCAGAAGCAGCGTAAGTTCGACAAAGACAGTTAACATCACCTCCTTCTCCAACCACATCATATGCCTTTGGGATATGAAGGGTCAAATTAGGGTGGAAGCAACTGGGGCTATTTCTACTTTTTCCCATTTTTCCCTGGTAAACAGGCCCCCTTCCTTCTTTTCAATTTTAAAGCTATTTAATTTAGCTGAACCATGAGGGTGCAAGCTAGAAAACTGAAATAGGCTATCTATAAATTAAGCGAGCCCAGAAGCTATACCCAGCACATTTCAAACTGTTACTTTAAATGAAGTTCTTACTATAAAATATTTCTATTTTATTAAATTATAAAGGATGATGTCTACCTTGCAGGAAACGAACATATCCTGACACGGTTTACTAACTTAAAGTATACGGTAAAGTCGTCAAGACAGTCCTAATTATAGGTAAGTATAAAAGTTTGTGTAAAAATGCCTTCAAAATAATTGCAGAAATCTTTCATCCATAACTCCATCTTTGTTCAACAGAAATAGTCACTCAGGAAATAACCCTTCTCTATGAGTTTCCTGCAGCATTGCAGAAATACAAAGCTTAATTGACAGGATTGGCAGTCACTGAATATAGATATTCTTAGTAGAAGGCATTTCTTCAATTATCATATTTAGCTGGCTATCCTTTGTCACTGAGCATAGATGTAAAAAGAAAAACCGAGGGAAATTAGCAAACTCAAAAATTAGCTCTAACTTTGGATTGGACCAATCTGAGTGTAGATCCCAGCTTATATGTGTATGAGTAAGTTACTTGAGTCTTCTGAACTTCAGTTTTCTCAATTAAAAAAAATAAAAATAATATTGTGGTTAAAGAATTTAAGTGATGTCTAATATGGAACCCACAATATTGGGCATATTAAAATAATTGCTGATACCACTATGTTTATTAGTATTTTAGGCATATCTCTGCATTTTTGCCTCACCAGGCCTCAGTTTGCTCATATATCAAATGCCAGGTTGATTTAGAGGTATAATCATGGTTCTAGTCAGCATTGACATTCCTTGAATCAATGACATTTTTCTATTATTAAAACTCGATAAGACAGAGGTCATTTTTTTTTTTTTTTTTTTTTTTTGCAAAAAATTGTGACTTCAGCTTTTCTGTGTTCTGTGAAGGCAGCGTTGGGGTACTGCTTCCCTGAGTTCACAGGGACGCTCCTTATTTCATCTCTTAGAATATCTCTAATTAAAAAGGCTGCAATGGTCAGTGTGACCGTAAAAGGCATTCACATTTAAGAATCATAGGGAAAAGATAAATATGCTCAATTATTCATCAAACATTAGTATTATGATGGCTTCAAAAGAGGATATTCACATTTTGTACATTTTTCTACAAAGTAATATGATTTTAAATCACACAAATCATACTGGAGTGTATTAGGGTTGTAGATAAGCATGTAAAGGGCAAATAGTGGATTTATTACCATTAGAATTTCAAAACTAGTAAAAGTAATCAATAATGTTGGAGCAAATGCCTAAATATTTGGGTCGAGGAGACCTTAATAATTATTAAGTTCCCACCATATACCACACAAAAGGAAATTTCATGTGGATCAATGATTTAAATGCTTTTTAAAGGGGAAAAAAAGACTAAAAATAAAAAGAAGTATAATTTTAAGTTTTACAATGGGAAAGTCCTTCCTTAACATATTACCAAAATCAAATAATATAGAATAAGACTACCATATTTGACTACCATTATAAATAAAATTACTCTATAGTGGAAGTTACTCTCAAGAAAATTTAAAAGGCTAAATGACAAATTTTAAGAATATGTTTCAAGTACCAAACAAAAAGTCAGTATCATTGTGCAAAAGGTTGTCACAGCATTTGGAAGACATCACTTCCATGAACTCCTAGATATTCTAATTCAATGCTAAACCAAACCACTCCTATTTCCACACAGAATTTCTAAGGAACCCTTACACAAGGAACCAAAGAGAATTTAAAGCAAGCTACCATTTATTAACCCCTAACACTTATGCAAGTAATTAATAATCCAGCTGCACTAAATTTGATTTAGAACACAAGCTCTGGTCTCAGGGTCTCATCAGAGCCTCTTACTCTTCCTATCCTCACCTTTTTGTTTTTTTATTTTTATTTTTATTTTTTTGAGAAGGAGTTTTGCTCTTGTTGTCCAGGCTGGAGTGCAATGGCATGATCTTGGCTCAATGCAACCTCTGCCTCCCGTGTTCAAGCAATTCTCCTGCCTCAGCCTCCCAAGCAGCTGGAATTACAGGCATGCACCACCACGCCTGGCTAATTTTGTATTTTTAGTAGAAATGGGGTTTCTCCATGTTGGACAGGTTTGTCTCGAACTCCCTACCTCAAGTGATCTGCACTCCTCATCCTCCTAACGTGCTGGGATTACAGGTGCGAGCCACCACTCCCAGTTCCTATCCTCATCTTTTAACACCACCTCCCTTCCTACATAAATTATGAAGCACATTCTCAGGAATTACTACATAGAAGCAGCAACCAAACTTTAATAGTATCCCTAACTTGGTTGATCAATTCTCCTACGTGGAATTCAAGCAGAAGTGGCAACAAAATTGACTATCTTGGCCTCAGTGTCTAAAACTAAGAGTTTTAAAAAGAGAAGGGAGCATGGGTCTCTATGCTTGCAAGACAAGCATAATCTTACCAATGATTCATTGTAGTCTGATGAATGACAAACTCTGAGTAGATATATTAAGAAATGTTTCTCCCTTGGAGAGGAATGGGTGACAAAAATAGACAACACTAGTATTTAGTAAGACATGATAATGCCCTGTAGTATGAGAAGTACTAAGCTTAAATCCAAGAATCTATTTTGAGAAATATGTAGACACTTCTGTTCTTGCGAAATTCTGAGGCTACTCTTAATCAGAAAGTCTAGTTATTTTAGAAACTAGCCCCAGAACTAGAAGCCTGCATCAACTATGATTACCCATGTGACCACGAATGTTTACTTTAAATCATTAAGTTCACCTGTTAAGTTGAAATAATACTTACCTCTTTGGGTTTTTAGCAAGCATTAAATGAGATGCACAAAGAAAACTATTTTATGCTACCTTACACAATAGTGTTTCTCACAGAGAAATAATCCAAATTCTAGGTTGGCTTAGTCCAGTGCCTAGCACATAGTTAAAAAACAATAAATGTTGCATATCTTAGTCCTCTACCATTCTTAAGAAAATATCAATTTCTCAGCAATATATTTTAATTACCACAGCATTAGCCAAACCATTATATTAAGTTGCACACTACCCAAAAACAAAGTCCAAAGCTAATACTAACACATCCCTGCAGGCTACTGGACAGACACCAAAGTCTTCTTGGAGAAAACCGGATTGCCTGGCTTTCTTTAGAGAAGCTACGTTTTCAAATAATTCAAACTGCACACACCATAAGAATTGCCCATGTCTTCTATTTCCTATACAGATGTTAAACAGGATGATATGATTACATTTAATTTAACTTGTAGGTGTTACTTACGTGGAACAAAAATGTAAGTCTCTGCAGCTTCAGTCGGCCTTGCTATGTAATATTTGCTCTCATTGGCTAAGGCTTTGGCAGCAAGAGGTGTATAAAGGGTGTAAGTCTAGCTTAGCCAATTTATCCACCCATATTTCACTACCAGGCATGGGCAAAACTACACAAAACCATTGTCCAAAGTCACCTTACAAGTTTCCCTGTGCTACTGAGATTTCTAATATGTTATTTAAGAAAAACTGCTTTGGTGGCATATTTAAATATATTTTTATGTCCAAACTTTGATCTTAGTTACAGCTAAACCATGGACTTGATGAACCCTGGTAGAACAAAGAGAAGAAGTCATTCTCTGTTATAACTCATATTATACTGCATGCTCACAAGTAACCAAAAACTATGGTGGCTCCTTTATTTAATATGTGACTGCACATCTGAGTCAAATGAGAAATAACAGCAATCCCTCACACCGCAATAAGGGCTAACCATGTTTTATTACATGGACATAGTGCTATTTTTATCTAAAAGGAATATAAAGATGGCTAATTCACATAGGTTGCTGGGCTTTAATATTTCATTTCTTTTTAGTTACTACAGAAGCTTAAAATCTGAAAAGTCGAACTGTCAGTAAAGCAACACATTCTTTTCTTCTTCTATCATAACTATTTTATACTAAATGTATCTCACGTAGCAATGCTCTTTTTTTCCCCCCGAGAATCTGGCAGCAGCCACAAAACTTAGCCTTACCAATGTCTGTGGGTGTCTCCAAGCAGCAGTCAAGTCCTCTGAGAGAATAGTAAAGTCACTGATATGTTCCAGAAACTCAGTCTAGCAGCTCATCAAAAATTTGGCAGAAAGAAAATTAATTTTTGAAATCTTTAAAGACTTTCTTTAAATTCAATTTTTAAAGACCAAAAGGGAAATCATCTTTTTAAAATCTCATATAAATGAGTTCCATGGTCCATTAAAATCTCTTGCTGTTATACGATTTTTAATAGTGAAATACATTGCTTATGAATACATTTCCACTCTTTAGGTCCCTTAAATAAAAGAGCAGTAAAGAATGAAGTAGGAAAAGGGAACTATTATAACATTTGTCAGGTACTGATGCTTTGCCAGGAAGATCATAATTCATTATATACATTATTTCTTTCACTCTTCACCACAATCTTGAAAAATATGGAGGCAGTAGAGTATAGTGGTTAGGAATCAAGATTTAGAATCAGCTTCACTTGGGTTCATATTCACTCACTAGCCAAGTGACAGTCAAATTACTTAGCTTCTCTGAGTCTCAGTTTCCTTCTTAGCAAATGGCATTGAAAATACGTCAAAATGCTGTTTTGAGTACTGAAATAGATCATGATAATGAAATTCTTAGCAAAGTGATATGCGCATAGCAAATATTCAATATATGGGAGCAAAATTAAAAGTCAGTACTATTGTTCATTTTACAGAATCAAAAAGCGGGGCTCAGAAGTGAAGTAACTTGTCCACACCACAACAGTAGATAGTAATGAGGCTATAGTTTAATTTTCATCTCTGAAGCCTCCAAAGTCCATAGTCTTCAATTACAGGATTCCTCTAAGAATCATTACACAAATTTTTGACATGAAAAATCAAAAGAAATGTCTTAATTCTATTTGAGAAAAGGCTGTGCAATTGTTATGTCTAAGGTAAATTACGCAGGTATGTACTGTCCTTACCATCCATATTTCACAGGAATAATTGGAGTCTTTCATGAAGAGAAGGGGAGGTGATAGATGAATGAAATTGAAATGTCATATAGTAGAATTTTTTTTTAAAAAGTCCACCTAAATGTCACAGGCGCTGTGAGCAGATAGTTTCCCTTAGAAGGAATATGGACAGGTCAAAACCGTGACTGTTGTATTTAGTTCACAGATGCCTAGAGGTTAATGACTTACCCATGG